AATGTGTCAAAGATATTGAAAGTTGAAATAGAATTTTGAAAATAATAATATGTAAAAGTCATGGTTAAAAATATTGCATGAAAATTTTGGTTGACAAACATTCATTATCTAGGTTAGCTTGTTTATTCGAAATCTTTTTTGTTTGGGGAAGATTGAAAAATATGCACAGTAAAACTATATTAAATATTTATAGAATAATTTTTTGTGATAGTTTACAATTTTATCGTATTATCTTGTTGAAGAAGACTATTCTTTGTCATTATTTTTATTGATTAAATAAAATAGTTATAATTTAATTGATATATGTTTGCATAATTTTCAAATATTATTCATATTATCATCCCTTTTCCAGTGATAGTTTTTATATGCATTTTTCACTTGATCTACTTATATATTTACTTTTTTTTATTATATTGTATTTTCTTATAGATATGAAAAACTATTAAAAATAGACACACATGTCATGGTATCTATAGTAATTTTGTTAACTTGTTTTTACATTTGTACACAACCTTTATTAGTTTCACACACAAACCACAACAAAAGATTAAGAAATCTATTTATTTTTATATTATAATTAATTATTTTTTTTCTTGTATGTAATCGGTCAATTATTAATAATTACTTTCTTATAATAAATTTAATTAAAAAATTACATCATAACTATTTTATTAATAATTTTTAATAAATAAATAAGTTGAAATTTTTAAATTATTTATAATATTTTTTACCAAATTTTTAAAATCTTAGAAGCTAGATATATTCTTTTGAATAAAATTAATTTTTAAAACTTATGTGTAAGTCAAAATGTGAATTATTTCTTGCACCAACAACAACCAAAAATAACTACTTTTGAAGAATAACAATATTCGTCAAACACAAAAAGATCTTCAAAAACATAGATTTGAACTGAAATGATAATTCTCTTTTCCAAAAGCAACAAATGAACAAAATTTTAACTATGCAATAACTATCATAAAATGTTATTTTCTATTGATTTTATCAAGAGCATGTAAAAGGCGTAACAGTTAATCTAGACTATTGCTCATCGTTCATAATACTTGACTCAAAATAAAATGATTGGTACATTCTCCACTCATAAAACTATGTCACTTTAAGATATATTTTTATTTATAACTACTTATTATTTTATTAGCATTTTCAAATTATATACATATGAATACTCTTAAAGTATAGCTAATTACTTTTAACTATATTTAATATATTTTCTCTAAAAGTATTAATTTATACACATTATAATTTAATGTGAATATATTTTGGTAATTCAAAATGTTCAATAAATAACTCTTATATGGATATAAATTATAATTGAGGTCAAGAAAATTATATATAAATGAAGTCCATGTTTTCAAAGAGCGAAACATATGACTATCTTACCCATATTGCTT